TTGAATCCATCCATGGATCCAAACGGTGTTGAACTATGAGTGTAACATTTCTTGTTCAAGGAAATATCGAAATAAAATAGAAAAAAAAACAGAATCCCAGAAGAAAGTCCAACACGACAAAATTGAAAATGTTGCAGTCTAGGTTTCATTGAGCCTGTTCATGGAAGGTACTGAAAAGTGCAAGTTACCGTCCACGCCCCCTAGCACCGACTTAAGCAGAATTCAACATTTAAACCCACATATTGTGAGGTTTGGACAAACGCGGCTATAGATAATTTGTCCGACGCGATAAATATTCAACCATGTCGGCTGCATAATTAATTTTATTAAAAAAGATACAGTTATGTGCCAATACAGAAATACGAATGTATCACTTCATTTTTTCCGTATGAGTTGCATTATTTGCATGATATAGGGTCTCAGAAATAATGCAGGATAAAAAGACGTTAATTTATGAAATAACAGTCAGCTAATTATATTTTATGTTTATTCCTTTATTATGTTTAGCTTCAATAAAATATTGACAACCCTTATATTCACGTACATATCCAGATAACTGGGATTTTATGATAACACCAGGGTCTGATCATAATATCAGACTCGATGTCCGGAAACGTTTGTATAACACTTATATACTGGAATTGTACTCAAATCACAGTTATTTATCATTGTGTCAGGTATTTCAGGGCCTATGGATTACGTTATTGTTGGCTTTGATCCAGTATAGGGACATTTGGTTTCTTCCTTATCTCATATGCCAGCTGTGCGTGACTTGTATAGATCAGTGGTTCAATCAAGTAAACTGAAAAGTTGCCATAAGATCATCACACAGTGGGTCGGACTTAAAACACGTGGTGCCATAATGTGCACTGGCTCTAAGTTATATCCAGATCTGAATCCTAAGCGAGGTAAAGCCCCGAAATTAGCCGAAAGCAAATTAATTAAGTGATATATTCTTATAACAGATGCTAAACATTAAGTTTCAGTTAATAATAAACAGTCACTTAAAAATGTATCACCTTAATATTATTTTTAACAATCTGAAACAAAGTCTTATTAAACAATAACGCGTAGCACAGATATTTACTAATCTTGCAAAGTTTCTATATTTATTTACTTGGTTTAGTTTGTAAAAGCTTTTTCAAGTTCGATTCTTTAGGGAGGTATAAGCTTATGGTTACTTACTCGAATCAGTCACTTGAACCAATTACTACTAAGCAATTAGCTTAAGAAAACAGCGGCGCTCCTTTAATAACAATAATGATGATAATAATAAAAATATTAATAATAATGATAATAACAAAAATAATTATTATAATAAAATATTATCAATAATAATAATAATATTAATTATAATAATTATGATAATAGTTACAATAATAATGATTATAATAATAATAATAATAATAATAATAATTATGATAATGATTATAATAATAATAATTATATATAATAATAATTACAATAATAATAATAATAATAATGATGATGATGATGATGATGATGATGATGATGATAATAATAATAATAATAATAATAAAAATAATGATTATGATAATAATGATAATAAAAATGATAATAATAATAATAATGATAATAATAATAAAACTATCTAAACTTGTTTTTAACACAGGAACCTTGACAACACTAATATTTATTCCTTATTACACACATCGATTTGATTTTGAAAGTCAAAAAATCCCTGGTAATCATTATTTTGCATTCAATGTATTGTGCTATTTAAAGTGCTGTATGTACTATGCTATTTTTATCATTTTGTAGTACGTCATACATTGCAGATACCTTTGTTACTTGTTGTGTTGTTTACATGGGTTACTATACCGGTGGATCTTTTCTTTTTTTTCCTCAAAATTTCCAGTTCATTTGTATTTGATACACGGCAGAAATGTGATATACTGTCGAATATCAATTATATCTCAATAAATGTTTTTTACTGTATTTTTCTGATGACGTCAGTGTGGCATTAAACTGATAATTGACAACACCAGCAATTGATTTTTCACAGAGTTAGCATTCAGTTGCATTTTAACACTCAATCTGAATAAAAAAAAAAACAATAAAGCCTAGGTACAAATCAAGTTCCGTTAAGTTTGAATGCTGAATTTACAAGACCTAAACAAACTGTTTTTTGTTGTTTGTTTTGTTTTTTTTTTGGATGGAAGGGGTCTACACATAGTACTATTTCGCCGCGACCAGAAATGTCAAATAGGTGGGGTGATGCCGACGTGGCACTCGATAAGCGTCGTTTACGCTCTGTTGTTTGCTGTACAAAATCTTTGCTGTACAAAATTTTGATACCCTAAAATTAAAGGCTATCTTGTTTGCGATAAAAAAGGTATTACGATTTAAACAATGTTTTGTAAGTGAAGTACGAGGAGAATTTAGATTAACAATAAATAAATCTTATTGTAAAAGTGCAGATATTCTGTATAAGATCATTATTTGTAAATCCGTATACATGTTGTTTTGTTATCAATGTTAAAAAAAGAAAATTTGCTTAGCTTTATCATACTTTTATTTTACAGAAATCTTTTATAAACAAAAGTATTTATGAACAAATATCTTTCAAAGTATTCTTAATATTTGTTATTTTGAAGTTATATCTTGTCTTTAGGCGAATACTGTCCTAAGATGATAATTTGGTCTTAACGGTACATGGGAAAGTCAAAAAACGGGGTTAACTGGATTATTATCCGATATCGTAAAAGTAAACACTTACATATACTATATAGCATTATTCTTACAGAATCGTTTGTGTATTACCGTTATGGCTCTGCCGGTAGGTCGGAGTAATTGTAACTTTTAGTGTTTTGTACTCTTAGGTTCGAACCGCAATTAGTGTCATTTTATAATCACAGTTTTTTCTTCTTACTCTGTTTTTTATCATTATTATTCTTTATTTATTTTTCGTTTTCCTTTTTGTTTTCTTCTATAATATATATTATATATTATATGTTAATTTTTTTTATTTCCATTCGATTTTCTTTTTGTATTTTTTGATCGCAGTGTAATAAAATATTCGATATCATATTCATGTATGTATATAAAAAAACTGTCAAACTTGTTTTCTGAAACAAATTGGCTGTTCTGAGGTAAAAACATGTGTCGTAACAGTAGTCGAACTCCTGCCTGTACGGGTAAAACACAATACTGACACGGTTGCCCTGCCTACTGCGCTAACAAGTCACATGATAATATGTAGTTTTATTTTCATTTTTATAGGTTGTGGCATTGATCTGCCAACCTATTTTTTGCATTGTTATTGGTCTTTGTTATGTAAACAAAGGCTCAAGTTATCATCCTAGGACAGTAGCTTTGTTCATTTTTTTCTAACAATGAATAAGATAAAAGTTTACGTTGTCTTTTGTTTGTTGGTATCTTTTTCATGTTAAGTTTACAATGTTTCATTTTAAGCTTCTCTCCAAAGCGTTTATTCAGTAGATAGAATCAGTTTGTTGCTATTGTGGCTGTCTATTGTGAATAAAAAAGACGAATGTATCCTAGTATTTTTAAAAAATTAAGTTTTGAACGTGAAGTTAAAGGTGGATCATCTTATTTTTGCAGCATACTTTTTAAATATAATCACCAAAAAGTGTACCATATTTGAAATTCAGAACTGAATGTATTATTCAACATGTTTGATAATTCTAGTTAAGCTTGACGTATTTTGAAAGGATGTTTTAGTTTGTTTATTGCGTTTTGAATTATTATATAATGATCAAATATACAATGAAAGTAAAGTAAAAATAAAGGTTTTTCTATATCTTCACTTTCATTATGTCAAAATAAACCATTTCTTTCCTTTTAGCCGGAAATATGTTACAACAAGTTTAATACAAATGCACGTAGTGTAAGTGTGATAATTCACCTTTTTAAACTTTCATTTGTCACGAGTGCCCTATGTTACATTTTAAATTTTTGATATCATCATATTTAATTAATTCTAAAATGTCACTTGTCACCAAATTGCAGATCGCCATGGTAAGCAAATACTTCTCGTATCGTATATATTGCTTTTAAAATATTAAAAAAAATGGGCTACTTTAGTTTTTGAATCATAGTAGAAGTGATGAAACATTCTTTACAAATTCGTTATTCAAAATGAGGATAATTAGGGGGAAAAACCTTTTGGGATAGTTCTACTTGCCTTACACGTTTGCCTTAATGAAACAAATAGCCCAAGTTCCGTGATGATTATTTTCAAAGTTATAGCAAATTGATGCCTCCCAAAAGTCAAATATGACAAAAAGAAAAAAAAGAAAAAAAAAACTTCAAAGGACAACAACTCTAAAATATTTATTTCAGAATAATTTCCATTGCCCTGCAACTTACCATTGTCACGATAAGCAAATAGTAATCCTATCCTATTGGTGTCTTCTTAAAATGTATAAATCATGGGCTACATTAACGGTTGTGCACGGTGACGACGACAAATACGCAGCCAGCGACCATAAAACTTCGACTTTAAAAAATACTATGACCGTGAAGGGTTATATATTTTTTGAAGTGAAACGAATTGGATGGATATCTCACCCGGCAGGTGTCAAGTGTAGAATATTAGCTGCCAGATATTTCCCTAGGTAGTGTGGTGTCTTGACATTATCTGATCATTTTCCATTTCACAAAGTTTACTGCTAAGGCTGGAACACACCTGAACCAATGATTGAGATTTTACGGGATCAAAAATGATTTTCTTAGTTTGGAGGAATCTTTCACATTTTACTTTAATTAGTTCTGTTACAGTATGCGCTTTTTAAGCTCATAGTAGTTTATCATTAACTTGATCAATTATAAACTCACTGTATAGCTCATCTATTTTTTGCACATTGGATGCACTATAATATAGATACAATGGCCGTCGAATATCATGGCGCAAAGATACATAGTGTCCAACATAAGTATGTAAAATGGGATAAAGCATTGCAAATAAGCCGATTGCGGGTAACCACCTTTAAATGTGTATGGTATAAAAAGCAACTTTAAACACAATGTTTTCAAGCCTTAGATAGAATATCAAGACATCATGACGAAGGCAAAATTGTTTTCATTTGTCATATTAATAACGTCTGCAATTTCTGTCTCGTTTTCGGAATATGCATCGACTTGCAAAAAATTTGATTGTGAATATAAATTGTTATCAAAAGTGATACAGCTGGAAGAAAGAACTGCTCAACAGGAGAACAAAATAGCTCTACTTACAGCCAAGCTTGAAGGTAAAATGTTCTTTTTCCTCTTCCTGAATGATTTAAATGAAACATATATTAACAAAATTGTTGTTTTTCTTACTTGATTATACTATTAATCTAAACCTTTTTGTTAATGTTTTTCTCTCAATATTTTGGCTATATAAATGTTGCTTTTGATATATTCATAGGATCTATTTAAGAGGAAACCAATAAGATATTTGCATACGCACAAAATAATTAAATTCAATTTTATTTATTACAATATAAATCGTTGACTTACAGGTTTTAAAGATGTAAAATATATCATAAGCTAAGTTTATCAAGTTTTAAAAAACACAGATCACTTTGTAAGAAGAACTACAAAAAAATACATTAATTTACCTTCTAAGTAATTTTATGTATTAGTAAAAATAACAAGACAGTTCGTTACCAGAATGAACATCGGTTACATACAAATTTAAAATAAATGTTCTGATAATTCTCTTTTTTATTTCAGATGCTGAAAAGTCACCAAAACATGACAAGAAAATTGCTATATTAGCCGCAAAACTAGCAGGTTTGGTTGTTTGAATAGAGAAAATAATAAAAGCTATACAATGTTTTGTTATGACAATATAAATAAAAACAACACACAAACTTCGTTTTGTAACTTATGTGTAAAATGAAAACTACTAATATTGATTTTAAACAATAAAAAAATCTAACATGATAAAAACGTACTTAGATCGATTGTTAGAAAATTAAAACGATTCAAGATTCAAGTAATAATTAATATCTTATATTGGGATAAAGACTGATGCTGTGTTTATCACTATATTTCTACTGCCTAACTAACGCAGTCAGGCAATTTTTGCAAATTTTTGGATAGTAAGTGCCGTTTGCAATGTGCAAATTATTTCTTTGTCTTTTTCACAATATTTTACTTTTAAACCATTAGGAATATTTTCATAAAATTTATGATGAATATGGACGCGTACCTCTAAAAATACTGTCAACATTTTTATAGTGTTGTTTTTAAGAGCCAATCCTTAATGTTATAAAAATAATTTATAATTATTTTATTATAAATTTCAGATGCCGAACAAAAACTAGAAAATCTGAATAACACACTAATAAAAACCCAGAAATTCTCTGATGGTGCCACATATATACGATGGGGTCGTACCACGTGTCCTGGTAAAGCCGTCCTAGTGTACGACGGCTACGTTGCTGGATCGCATTATCAGCATAGCGGCACTGCATCAAATCCATTATGTTTGCCAAAAGATCCAGACTACGACAAGCATACTGAAGGTTTTCAATATGCAGCAAGGATATATGGAGCTGAATATGAAGCACACTCCTATCCGGATTGGAAGTATTTGTATAACCACGACATTCCATGTGCAGTTTGTCGAATACCACGTAACAACGTTCTGATGGTGCCGGGGAAAAATCATTGTCATGACAACTACATACTAGAAAATAAAGGCTATCTTATGGCTGAGAACTGGAAACATCTCTCATCCTCTGAATTTGTGTGTGTTGATGAAAGTCCTGAAACGTTAGAGGGAACTCATCAGAATCTGGAAGGAAAACTGTTTTATTTTGTTGAAGGGGAATGTGGTTCACTACGATGCGATCCATACAAAAACGGATGGGAGCTGACATGTGCTGTGTGCTCATACTCAAAAAACGCAGGATCGACAAGTCTACAGCCTTTCACATAGTTTAAAAGGTCTGACTGTTTTACAAAACACATCCAAGATAGAGACGGCGAAACAAATTATATTTTCAAAACATTTTTTGGTATTATCCCTTATGAAATTTTCATAACAACAATATTTAAGGAACATTAACACTGTAACGTAACGATGATATATGTATTAGTATAATTTTATCACCAAACATATGTCATGTTTAAATAAATCAATTTTTTATTAACGACCGACTTATCTTAACGATATTTTGCTACTTTCATCAATGACTTCATAATGCATTGTTTATAAACGAGTCGATTTCGGTTTAGTCACAGTACTTACATAGATATAACAGACAATTTTTTTCCAGTGTTACTTTCTCTTCAAGATTCAATATCAAATCGAGTTTAACGTTCGTCAAGTGATGTAAATTATTCTATAGTTTGTAAAATATGAAACAGTATATTTGCCAAACCCAATACAAATGAATTGTCCGTATGAACAGCCATTCATTTGATTAAACACATGTACTGATGTTTCAGAACATTTTAATTCCTATATTCTTATGACTTTAGTATAAACGACGTTTTAGTCATGTCAATAGAAGAAAAATCATAAGCAATGAATTAAAGGAAATATATTTTGGCCACAATATCCCTAATTGAATAAGTTCAAAAGTATTATATTAAAAGCTTTCCCTGTTGTTTGTGTGTTTTTTAGTTTGTTTTTTGTTTGTTTTGCTTTGTTGTGTTTTAACTTCCTTTGGTCGATTATATATTTAACAGCATCTTATTTGATTTTTTTCAAGTAATAATGTATCAGTTAACAATCCGTAATAAAACACTTAATCGAGATCGCCATTTGAAGGCGTTAACGTCGCGCCAGTATAATATTATATGTTTCCGTTTGACGTTTTTAAAGTAATTTCCATTTTCTATTGTATGTTCTTGGTATTGAAGAAGACTTTATAGTCTAAACATGTATACAATGGTGTTATAAATCAATTTTTTCTCCAGTAACTGTTATTGTCTTAATCATTCTTTATTTCTAAACATTGAAAAAATGGCAATCAAATATACAATAAAAGGACCATTCGCTTAAAAATGTAATACATTTTTCATTCAATGGAAATGACAATTTTCGATTCAATAGAGCCTATATTGCAGTTTCTTTCTCGATAACCACACGTAAACTGATGTTATGTCAATTTAAAACATTTCAAATAGAACATTGTGGGTATTTGTAAGTTTTGCACGTAGTCTTACTCTCTAAAATGGATACATACATGTTTTTTATTATTATTCTAATTTATCATAAGAAATACGTATTTTCGGAGAATTCTTTCTACTTTTAAAAATTCTGACTACGTCAATTATTTTTATTTTCGCAAATTTTTGTGACGTAATTATTGAGCACATATTATCAACACTTTAAGAAAACACATAATCAGCAATAATAGAACACATAATCTGCAATGATAGAACACACATAATTAGCAATTATATTAACACATATTCAGTTATTTTTAAGAACATACATAATCATCAGTTTTACTTAAAGTATAGATCTTAAGCTACACTCATCTGAAAATAACTATTGTTTAACATCATGTGAGGATAATGTCACAGAAAATAAAACAACGCTTGTAGCGTACTAACATCATTACATCACACATGAACCAAAGGTACAAGAAACCTTTCAATGATCATCTTTGATTCTTTGTATATTTTGCATTTAATAAAAAAGGACATTTAATTTCTGAATAAAATAATACGCCGAAACCTGCATGTGCTATTATTTCTAATAAAGTATTCTTATAACAAATTTTGAGTTCATTATTTTAAATGATGTACAAATCAAGGATAATCCTCCTCCTTAAAATGTATTTTAATCATATAACAACATATCTTTAGTTTGTTATATCAAGAGATCAACATCAATGTCATTGTCATTTTTGAATACTAGTTTTACTTAAAACATTCGTCGTATCATGATGAGACAGTTTAGAGCAGATCAAACGGAAAATTTTACGTCGACTTTGAATGTTTGAACTGTTTGCTAAACTAGCAAATCGTTTCTGTTCTGTTTATATAAAATTCAATAGACATGAATAGATGTTTATTTTTATTTTCGCATTTTTTTTATAATTTATTAAACATAATTAGATTGTTTGGTTTGGTAAGAAATGCTTCTGACTAAACTTACACTTCGCTTACAATATTAAGAACAACAACAGGCCCGATGGAATAAAAAAAAGTAGGGAAATAACTTAAATCTCCGACATACATAATTGATTTTATTTTATGCTTTTCAGTGGATTACTGATTTATCCGTGAAAATTATATTTGGTAATTTCACAGTGAAAATTATCAAAATATAATTTCACTTTTTTCAATGACGAAACTACTTTTTTAATATTTTCCCCATGTGGTACCTCAATTTTATTTTTGCTGACAATTCAGACAATGTCAGGCTATTTAAAGAAAAAGGAAAGCTGAAATTGATAAATACTTTAAACGTAAAAAATAATAAAAATCATTCAAATTCCAATCACCAAATTTCGTCTCTAAATTTTTTGTTTCATTTTTACAGTCTGAAAAATACATTCCTTCCACATGCAAACTGCTCTTGATGACATTTGGGCATATTAAAGTATCCTACGAGTAATAACTGCCGTATGCTTTATGAAAAATTGAAAAGCTATGACAGCTACAGCTCGTAGAACAAGTAAACCAACCCAGCGTTCCGAGCAAGTTCCAAGTCTTCCATTTTCATAGCTGCTTTTTTCATGTTTTCACATCTGTCAACACTTAATTTTTGTCTGTTTCAATCCTCAAATATGTTTTCTTTCTTTTAAAAGGGTGTATGACTAACAATTCCAAATGATATCCCTCTGAATCAAGCACAAATTATTTTCCTCCCGTGAAATACACAACTTTAAAAAATGGCTGCCGCTTACATTTAACAAAGCCAGGTCTAATATAAATTCGCAGTAGGTAACAGAAATATGGATGGATGGTTGGACTTTTCTTCTTCACGAATTGTTTGTTTTTATTATTAAAACAAGCGATCATTCATATTTTTTAAACAAAATAAATAATATCACTGTCATTTAATGTTGATTGTCGGACTTATTTTTTCAGCTCAAGACTTCTTGTTTTTAATGAGAAATTCGCACGAAATTGGGCTCTCAATGGGGAAACAGATTTTAATATTTATGTTAATATTATGGAAATTTCGTTTAAACTTGTTTTTTAGCATAAAATAAAAAGAAAATTTGTTTGTTTGTTGTGTAAGATGTAATTTTATTTCATCTCGTGAACTTTAAAAACAGTATTCTCACTCGTGGCTACGCCACTCGTGAGAATACTGTTTTTAAAGCCCACTCGATGAAATAAAATTTCATCTTACACACAAACAAACAAATATCCTCTATATATTTTATGATGATAAAAATGAAGATAAATAATAAAGTGATCGTAATTATCATACTAGACAAGCAGTTATTGAAAAATGTTACATATGGGATCATATCAAATCGTTAATCGGTAACTCTAAATGTATGTAATTTAAAGTCACAATGTTTTGTGCTGGCATGATTTTAAAGAAATAATTCAATTTAAAATTAAAACAATTAGTAGACACAACAAAATTAACATCCTCATTGAATACTAATTAGTGATTACTGTTTTTGCCTATGACACATTAACTGAATCGTTTGATGCAAAGATCAAGTACAGTGAGATGTTTATTTAACACTATTTAATAAATCATTAACTGCTTCTGGTTTGTATCTAACTGTTTTAATGAAGGAGTTAGACACATTTTGTAGTAGCAATTTTCAATGTGTATCTTGCAAGCATAATTTTACAGAAATATTTTGACACGATTACAAGTTTGCCGAAGGGATGTATTCACAAAATTAAATTAGAAAAAAATGGTATTATCCTAGTTGTATGCCGCTGTTAAAAGTATTTAAAACAAGTAATATCCTTGATATAATCGGCATATCCCTCCTTTATGAATCTTCCAATACCAGACATCACCGCCAAAAATAACGAAACTACATTGCTTTCAATTTAAATTGAATGGATATGATGTTGCCTTGCAGTTGAGCAGTTATGATTCTGTACTTAAAACGCAAACGTTTAGTGGTGCATTAATAATACTTTTATTTATCATTAAAAGACATTCGGATTTTCAAAATATTGTCAAAACAAGTTCATAAATTTAAATTAGTTTCATCACTTAATTTTCTCACATAAGGCTTGTGAAATAATGATTTCCAAGGAAGATGCACAACCTTACGGCCTACGGAGAATATGAACAGACAACGCAAGTAAGATCTTCTCCACTTTTGTAGGGCGGACATTTTGATGAACCGCATACAGCTGGAACAAAATGGAAAAGCTTTCCATCTTCATTACCATCAACCATCTTGTTTATTCCGGTTCACCATCGACACATACATATTCTGATGCAGCTTCATGTTGAGGATGTCCAGCCATAAGGTATCCTTCGTATTCAACTTTATATTCATCAAAACATGTATTTTTTCCCGGAATCATAATTATGTTTGTTCTTGGAACGCGACAAACTGCACATGGAACCTCGGCGTTTTTCAAACTGTCAAAAATGGTGTCATGACTCTCGTACTCTGCGCCATAAATAAAACCAAGGTGTGTTGGTGTCTGCGTATGATTTTTCCAGTCGGGGCTCTTAGGAAGACACAGATAATTTGAAGCTGCACCGGTTTCGTGATACATTCCACCAGCTGCATAACCCTGGTAAACTAAAGAAGCTCCGTCTGGACAGCTTTTATGCCCCCAACGCGTGTATGTTTTTGCCACAACATTTTGTTTGGGCTTTTTTCTTCCTTTTCGTGTACTCTGTTTTTCGCGCCTGGAAGATAAATGATACATTTATTTGATCATGTTAAGTAATTATTAATCTCATGCTATAAAATGCTTCATGTTCTGCAAAGTAAATACAATTTAAAGGCCTATTATGCCTCAGAAATGCCATCATTCTTGTTTCTCAAAATCTTTTATTTTTTCTATTCATCATTTTCTCTTTCATAAAAAATACTCATTTAAAGTATCACTGAACTATCTTTGCTCCTTTTGCTTTGTTGATAATTGGTAAAATCATCGTGAATAAGTATTTTGTATGGAAGCAAAAATACAACTTGGTTTACATTTTGCTATTTTTACGACACATAACTGCCCATACAGCTGTACTTTCTTCAGCTGTTAAACTTCTGAAATGCTCTAAATATTTTATCAAAACAATATACTTGTTTGGCATGTATACAAAATTTAACAAATATGGATTTCGTAGCCATAATCATATAGCATTTATATTTAGTGTATTAACTTAAATTGAAAAGTGATAAACTATTATGAATTATTATTTATAAGGTAAGGTTATTAAAGAATGTATAATGTCGTTCATATAAAACCAGTTCAAATTATCTAGTATGAGAGGTACATTATGGACAATTTTACACTGTTTCGATAACAGATGCAGTGCTTTGATTGATAAATATTTATTAAAAAATATTAAAAATATATTTAAAAGAGCATCTTGATGTTTAAGATATATACAATAAAGCGCTTGGTCTGCATTTTCTGAATAAATCACGTATATTTCTGTGCAGTTTTTAACATATGACATAAACAAATCCGACATGTGATTACGTAAAACACAAAGACGATTTTTAATTGTAACCTTATAATAGTAGTAGTAGTAGTAGTAATAATAATAATAATAATAATTATAATAATAATAATAATAATGATGATGATGATGATGATGATGATGATGATGATGATGATGATGATGATGGTGGTGGTGGTGGTGATTATGATGATGATAATGATGATGATGATGATGATGATGATGATGATGATGATGGTAATGATAACAATTATAATTTAGATAGATATAATTTATTGACGTATACATATTTGTACATAGCTATAATACAAAAAACGTAATACATAAATCATAAGTCATGGTATAATCATATTGAAAACAAGCATTGTTAAACAAAAGTATAATATATGGAAAATGTTCTTAAATCCATATTTAAACAATACAACGTTGGCACTGCTCTAATTAATACGTTGCAAAAATGACTTTCATATATTTAATATTTAGTAAATCAACGATTCAATATACATGATAAATACCATACTGCCACTTTAAATGAGCAAAATTATCATGCACATACTGGTAAAAATAGTTTTTTAAATGGTAAAATTAATTAGGTCATATCGACGCTTAGTAGCAAAGATAATGTGTTTAGCAATACCAATTAATTCGGATTTGTTTTTTGACTTCAAAAGCTGCAAAAATTTAAACATACTCGGCCTTCTGTAAAAATATGGCTTAATGAACTCCCTACGTAATGCAGTATAACAATTATAAATGATATTAAAATGAAATTCATCCTCAATTTCATAGTACTATTTCGACGCGACCAGAAATGTTAAATGGGTGGGAGGATGCTTACGTGGCACGTGCTGTACAAAATCTATTCTCAAAGGGGCAATTTTACGTTGGTATGACATGTTTAATTCCAAAAGATCAATAGGATCACCAAAATTTACAATATTTTCAGCGTTATTGACACTTTATTTAGGTTCTTTACAGAGTTGATTGAAACAACGTCCGTCATTATTGATAGCCATAATTCATAATCAATTATCGCGATGATAACTTCCTAAGTTTTAAAAGTAGAATTTGCACGAATGTGAAACGACGAAGTCGAAAATAAATCTCACGTTTGAGGAGGCATATAATTTTATCCTACTTAAATTGTGAATCAAAGTGGGATATAGTGATTTGTCGACTTTTGTTGATTTCTTTGAAAACACAAGAAAAGGGGACACTCACTATTTTCTTAGCAAAGTATTTGCAAAATACAAAAAAAATATAATATGAAAACGTTAGTGACGCTTAATATTTCGTGTTTTGTGTTTCTCGTAATGAAATTTTGATACCCTACAATTAAAGGCTCTCTTGTTTGCGATAAAAAAACGGATAACGATTTAAACGATGTTAGGTCAGTGCGAGGAGATTTTAGATTCAAAATAAATAAATCTTATTGTAAAAGTGGAGATAGTCAGTATACGATCATTATTTGTGAAGCCGTATATTTCGATCTGAATTTTGCTTAGCATTTTGATACTTTTGTTTTACAGTTATCTTTTACAAACACAAGTATTTATTAACAAATATCTTTCAAAGTATTCTCTTTTGTTAGTTGGTATCTATGTTAAGTTTACAATGTGTCTTTTAAGCTTCTCTCCAAGGCTTTTTATTCAGTAGATAGAATCAGTATGTTGCTATTGTGGTTGTCTGTCGTAAATAAAAAAGACAAATGTATCCTAGTATAGTTTGAAAAAGGAAGTTTTAAACGTCAAGTTAAAGGTGGATCATCTTATTTTTGCAGCATAATTTTGACATTAAATCACCAAAAAATGTACCATATTTGAAATTCAGAACTGAATGTATTATTCAACATGTTTGATAATTCTAGTTAAGCTTGAGGTAATTTGAAAGGATTATTTAGTTTGTTTATTGCGTTTTGAATTATTATATAATGATCAAATATACAATGAAAGTAAAGTAAAAATAAAGTTTTCTATCTTAACTTTCTTATGTCAGAATAAATCATTTGTTTCCATTTAGCCGGAAATATGTTACAACAAGCTTAATACAAAGACACGTAGTGTAAGTGTGATTATTCACCTTTTTCAACTTCTTTTGTCACGATAAACGAGTGCCCTATGTTACATTTTTAATTTTTGATATCATCATATTTAATTAATTCTAAAATGTATCATAATTTAAACATTTTTCACCAAATCGCACATTGCCATGGTTAGCAAATACTTCACGCATCGTATTTATTGCTTTTAAAATATTAAAATAGTAGGCTACCTTAGTTTTAAAATCATAGCATAAGTGATGAAACGTTCTTTACAGATTCGTTATTCAAAATGAGGATTAATAAGGAAAAAACCTTTTGGAATAATTCCACTTGCCTTACACCTTTGCCTTAATGAAACAAATAGCCCAAGTTCCGTGATGATTATTTTCAAAGTAATAGTGATGCCTCTTAAAAGTCAAATATGACACAAACAAAAAATAAATAAATTTCAAAGGACCACAACTCTAAAATATATATTTCAGAATAATTTCCATTGCCCTGCAACTTACCATTGTCACGATAAGCAAATAGTATTCCTACAAATAGTACTCCAGTTTTCTATTGGCGTCTTCTTAAAATGCATAAATCATGGGCTACATTAACGGTTGTGCACGGTGACGACGACAACTACGCAGCCAGCGACCATAATACTTCGACTTTTAAAATAAACAGGCAAACTTAATATGACCAAATACTATGACCGTAAAGAGTAATATATTTTTGAAATGAAACCTTTTGCCAAATGTCATTTGTGTTTATTGGAAAAATTGGATAGATATCTCACCCGGCAGGTGTTAAAGTGTTAAATATTAGCTGCCAGATATTTCCCTATGTATTGTGGTGTCTTGACATTATCCGATCATTTTCTATTTCATAAAGTTAACTGCTAAGGCTGGAACACATCTGAACCAATGATTGAGATTTTACGGGATCAACAATGATTTTGTTAGTTTGGAGGACTCTGCTCTTTCACATTTTACTTTAACTGGTTCCTTTTAAGTATGCGCTTAAAGTCATAGTAGTTTATCACTAAATTGATTAATTATTAACTCACTGTATAGCACATCTATTGCTACACATTCGATGCACTATAATATAGATACAATGGTCGTCGAATATCATGGCGTAAAGATACATCGGGTCAAACATAAGTATGTAAAATGGGATAAAGCATTTCAAATAAGCCGATTGTGGGTAACCACCTTTAAATGTGTATGATTTAAAAAGTCACTTTAAACACCACGTTATTTAAGCCTTAGATAGAATATCAAGACATCATGACGAAGGCAAAAATGTTTTCATTTGTCATTTTATTAACGTCTGCAATTTCTGTCTCGTTTTCGGAATATGCATCGACTTGCAAAAATTTTGATTGTGAATATAAATTGATATCAAAAGTGATACAACTGGAAGAAAGAACTGCTCAACAGGAGAACAAAATAGCTCTACTTACAGCCATGCTTGAAGGTAAAATGTTCCTTGTCCTCTACCTTAATGATTTAAATGAAACATATATAAACAAAATAGTTGTTTTTCTTACTCTTACTAGATTATACTATTTATTTAAACCTTTTTAAAACTTTTCTTTCACTATTTAGGCTATATTAATGTTGCTCCTGATTTATTCATATGATCTTTTTTAAAAGAAAACCAATAAGATATTTGCATACGCACAAAAGCAATAAAATTCAAATTTATTTATTGCAATATAAATCGTTGACTTACATATTTTAAAGATGTAAAATATATCAGTAGATAAGTTTATCAAGGTTTTAAAAACTCAGATCACTTTGTAAGAAGAAATGCAAACATGACATTAATTTACCTTCTTATTTTACGTATTAGTAAAAATGAGAAGACAGTGCATGAGCAGAATGTTTGAGAAACACTTACATACAAATGTAAAAATGAAAAGTTAATTTTAAAATATATCTTGGAAATAAAGGAAAATATAGAAACTAGTACTGAGACGGTCATGTGAAATAGTGTTCTGATAGTTCTCTTTTTTATTTCAGATGCTGAAAAATCACCAAAACATGACAAGAAAATTGCTCTATTAGCCGCAAAACTAGCAGGTTTGATAGTTTCAATAGAAAAAAAAAATAATAGCGATCTAATGTTTTGTTATGACAATATAAATAAAAAAAACAACACACAAACTTCGTTTTGTAACTTATGTGTAAAATGAAAAATGTAATATTG